AATATCAAAGGCTGTCCAGAGTATAACAAAGGATGAACCCTTATCCTTCAATGGATGCGCTCTAAGTGAACCGATGGAGGGATAGGTTTCTTCGCGCGAACAGGAATTCTTGTGGTGCGATGCGTGGTCTTGGATATTCAACTGAATTCAGCTGTAGAATCATTTTTTCATATGATTAGAGTCATTCTGTGAAATAAATTTCAAGGGTACTTTCTAATAGAGTGTGTAAGGTATCGCAACACTGCACCCCAGCACTTAATGTAGCGTCACAGTGGATGTTGTTGAGATCGATTACTCCTCAAACGAACAGACAACATCTCTGCTGTGGAGCTATTTAATAGTAGCGTGCTCGTCTGAGAGAACAAACCCTCAGATCTCCAAGAACAAAAGAATGTCCGAAACCACAGGGACGAAGGATCTCTAGGAAATTGGTGACGTGGTTACTTGGCGCGACCCCAGGTAGCGGATAGGAAAATAAATCGCAAGTAAAAAGTCACCGGTGCTTGCTAGAGACGCCAGGTAGACTCAGGGGATTAACTACCGTTCCTGTTGTGTTGGGTCAATTTATGCTTTCGGTTCCATCGCAGGTATATTCATGCATGCGTGTGTGGAGTGTCTGCTTGTACAGTTGGTATCTTATTTATCGCTCAGTTGAAAGCTTACATTCGAGTGACTGGGAAGTAATACGGGAAGCGATTCGGGGCCGCCTCCAATAACTCCAATTACTAAGCAACTTGTCCACCCTGGTATAGGCTGATAAGCTATCCGGAATCTATCCAACCGCACATCAGCGCCTGACAGTTACGCGCAAGTAACCGTATGCCAAAAACAGTGGTATGAATGGGCCTCATTTCCCGTACCTGTGGGAGCCCCAGTACGGCAGTGTTATGAAGGACCACTCGGTAGAGGTACTCAGGGCCGGAATAGTCGAGCTGGAAGGAGAAGGAATATGATGGCGGTTTTTGCTTACAGTGCAGGAACGCTTACAGCGGAAGCGTGCATTGAGATCTGATGATGTAAACAGGGAAGATTAACCAATTCATCGGATTGAATTAGACGGAGGCATCGCTAGCTGCATACAATTTTCGAGAAGGGAGAAAACCGTTTTCCGAACATTTGATAGGAAAGGCGTCGACGGTGTAGGTGTTCTTGTCAACACGCGCTTAGCCATAAGCACCTATTCGGACGAGAGCTTGACAACCCGAAGCAAACAACAAACAAGGACGTTTATGATTGAGTGGATATGACACAGCTTCAGCTCTGAAAATTCTCGTTGCCTACTCACCAAGATCAATCTACGAAGAAGAGGTCTTGTATGCGTTCTATGCGGACATTGAAAAGGTCATCGTCGATGATTTCAACGCCACAGTTGGCCCCAGAAGGATGACAGAGAGCTATATATCAGGATTCATGGAACGGATTGGAATGAGCAGGAGAAAAAATGATAGAGTTTATAGTTGCTAAGATACATCTAACTTTGAAACATCTCAAGCTGATACGCAATTGGAAGCGCATTAGTCGCATGCGACGACTAACTAACGTCCAAACGTGTAAAGCTATGCACAGAAGCGATCAAGGAACATCTGAAGGNNNGGGGGGGGGGCAATAACAAGAGCATTGCCAAACCGCCGAGACTGGGAAGGATGTTCACAATGCCCGCTGGAGCATTGCCACTTTCAAGACCAAAACGAATTCCCTTCGTCGTTTTGATGGAACAACCATTACTGCATCTTGACGGGTAATGGAGAGGACATCTACGACTTCCATTTGGATCTTTTCGATAGCCACGTCCATCTGCCTTTTGAGCAGGATGAATTTGTCGTTTCCGCAGTGGTTCCTTCCACAATTCCACGTCCCATCATGTCAATGAACAACTGTACCGGTCCCGGTCCCGATAGAATCAAACCAGAACATCTTAAAAGGCCCTCACAAGTGATCGTCAAATGCTGAGTTTGCTCTTCACTCGGTACTTGTCGAAAAGCATTCGAAAACTACTGGCAAAACTGTGGTTGTATAGGGAAGACGATCCAGACGACATAGGCACGTATCGCGCTCAATCTGCTTCGTAATCTGTAAGCTTTTCACACGGTTCACCCATAGCAGTACTGGCAGAACAATGGTTGAAGGACCACTACCATCATGTCTTGTAAGAGGGACGAACGGAGCGGGGCGCGTGCTGCGCACCCACTCGAGGAAATCGATCATCAATGGCATAAGTGATATGGGAATTTTTTTGATCATAAGGCTCGTTCCATTCACTTCCAACATACACTGCTGAGTTCGACTCTAAAGGTATTCAGGCGATGATTATTTTGAATTATCAAAATAAGTTTTCAGAACTCTGTAAAGAAAAGCGTACAGCAATCGAAGTTGCTACAACCCATTACTGAATCGACCGTTGTCCCAGCTCAAACTGTCCTAGCAGCGGTAGATAACCACGGCATTTGTTAATTTCCATTCATTTTTCTCCATATAGACTCTGCCAAGACAACTTTTTTCGACAATGACAAGAGAAGCTAGACATATGCGATCTCATCAGGAGTTTATTTAATTTTAATGGATTATGTTATCGTAATGATGCTAAAATCAAAAACTTACTCGGATGATATCAGCGGCAGCGTCATCTTTTCCGAAGGGCCATGTCAGTGTGTGTTTCCCAGCTCGCTTTCCAAATTTATAACAATAACTAATAATATTGGCGGCAGTAAAATACTTTGAGTAGAACTACCCATCAGGCAGCATGCCACAATCGCCGAAATCATATTATCAACGAAGACATTTGTAAGATCTGCAGAATGAAACTCGTCCAGCAGACGATTCTAGGAAAGATTCTAGAGAGGCAGATGTTTNTTTGTGGTGTATCCTCAATTCCGAACACAAAACCAAGAGCTTCACACGAATCTTTATTGGACAGGGTCAGTCTTTGGAAGCGAATCAAATGGAGAACATCATTTCTTCGAAAATATATTGCGTTCACGAACAAATAGTATTAGGTTGACAACGCACGGGAGGAGAATTCTGGAAACGGGATCGGAGAAGAGAATCGAATGAATCGACAACACTCACACGCATGTTCTACAGGCTTACAAGAATGATGCATACACATGAAATGAACACCCGCGATTAGATGCGAATAGAAAACCAACGATTATCACCAGTGCATACGGTGACAGCGATTCCTCTGCAATGAAATGTGGAACTACAACGAAAGCAGGGCTGACATCAAGGCTTTGTAAGGGGCTTCCACCTTTCTCCTACAACATTCAGATTCCAGACTATGGGGCCCACTCGGTTGGGGGAGGAGGTGTCCAGGGCAAGGGAGCGGGACGATTTTGCCTCATTCACGTTTCCAACCAGGGTGTGCACTTGAAAGTGATAACTCAGGCTCCCAGAGGAACTTCTGCGCCAATGGTCGGGACACAGTGTGTGAGAATCCGAAACAACATATCATGTCGCCACTTTAACATACGTGCAGCATGGAACACTTGAGTTCCCTGATTATGTACAATATTCACAACATAAATTGAAACGGGAACACGCAAATATAAGAGATACTTTTCAATCGATATATCGATTAGCCGCAGCACTACAAGAAGGAGAACGAAAAGAAAAAACGCAAACAACACGCTTTGGGACAAATATATCACTTTGAAACTATAACAGCAGGAAATAAGAGATGAAGCATCGGAGGAGGAAATAATAAGAAATGAAAAATGGAGATGATACGCGTCAAATTGTCCGAAACAACGATCAAACTACCCGACTTAGAGTATGCCGAAAACAGGATGGACAGCAGTAATAACATGGACCTGAATACATGAAATCGAAGGACGAAGAACGTCCCTTCTTAGAGTAGAGATGGAGTAGACCTCACAGAGTGCGGTAAGATCGTCTGGTTCATTTGATTTCCGAATTTTTCAGTGCTTCTCATCACGATGAAGCATTCGTAAAAATGATCTGCCACTAGCGATGAATTTATTCGAAGACGACGGACTTGGTGACCTGAGACTAAAACTAATAGCGGTAAAAAAGAATGTAAATGAAATCAAAAAAATAAAGTGTTAGTAAGCCAAATCAAACGTAAAACGAACGTCTACAGAAGGCGCTCTACATTAATTATTTC